TTCATAGGCACTATAACAGACGACTTGACTGGTATGCCTTAGCACGAATACCCGTTCTATTCTCCAGCTGCTTGAAGTATACAATGGTTGAACAGGAGGCACGACTGGAAGCCTAATCTTGGTGAACCCATACCCTGTAGTCTCGTTTCTTGTGTAGTGTATCCACTCTCCTTATCCCTAACTTGCCCCTGACACAGAGTCCAGCAATGATAATGAATCCCATTGAAAGTTTTGCAACACGCCCTGTACCATTTTTGGATTTTTCTTTTTATACCCACTTACTCTGAGAAAATGGCACAAGACAAGTTATAGCTTTCAAGGCACACATATGTTTTGTCAAGTGTCACCATGTACTGCCATTTTTCCCTGGCTAGGTGCCATTCATACCCAATCTTGAAAGTTCTAAATCCATTATCTCAACACATCTTTATGATCTCAGTGCATGAACATTTTGCATCAGAAAGGACAATATCAATTTTCGATGGCTCACTACCTACGTAATAATTCTGATACATTCTGTTTCACCACATTATATTGTCTCTGATTGAGTGACTTTCTTATTTGCATATCAAAAATCGTTTAATTTAACATACTCAACCCTCTTAAATGCATTCGCTACACAGAAAATTCTGTTTCTACAATCATAGCATATGGAAGTTGTTTCTATCAGTTTTTGTTATCAGCAGGAAATCTTCAATTACATATTCATAAGCAAGTGACTTCTCTAGAAAAAGATATAAAGTTGCTGGACAATGTAAACCACACTAAGTGAAAAAGAATGAAAGCAAAGTATATCTATTGTTTTCAAGTAGTTTTGATGCATAAATTTGTTTGATTTCACAAGTTAATTACTTCTAGATTTTGCTGATATTACTGAATATTTTATCTTAGTTATTATTGAACAAGATAGATGGTATCCAGGAATTATGTTAACTACATTTATCTGTAGTGTTACAACGTTTTTGGTGTTGGCTACACAAGTATATATCTACATTTGTTTACAAAACATTGCATGAATTTGCTTATTTACTTAAATTATATTTACATAACTTGTGTCAGAAGGCAAATTGGAGTTGTGAGCATACAGATTGTATAACCTTCTGGCTTAGAAGCTTCAGTCACTACTTGTAAAATAGTTGGTTAATTTCAAGTAATGATGAAAAGTCTTGTTTTTCAGTATTATTAACCTTCACCATTGAACATGACATTCTCATTTGGCACCTAAACAATGGTAGAAAAACTCACTTGTATGTGAGATAGTTATACTTGCTGACTGGTCAGCCTGTTGTTAGTACTAACACAGTCAGGTGTTTGGCTAGCAGAGCTTATGTGCACTGTTCATAGCAGCTATGTGGATTGAACATTTACTAGAGCTAAGGATAAGAAGTAAAGGGATAAGTGTTTTCAACAGTAATACTGTGAGAGGCAGAAACACTGACCAGTGGCTGAATCAGACCTAAACCTACAGTAACCAAGAAAGAAGACCTGCTCTTAGTGGATCTACAAGGAAATTATCTTTCTTTGAATCCCAGCAAACTACTTAGTCTCCAAACCATCATGATTATGAAAAAATAACTCACCACAACTGGTAAACAATTTCAGTTAAACCACCTGTAGCAAGGATATTGGGCCTTGGTAAGTGGATCCACAATCTTCATTAGTGCCAGACCTTTACCATTCCATCTACCACTACATGCAAAAGTCTACATTGTATTCTCCTATTTGGACCTAGAAATGATGAAAAAGCATTGACACCCTTATTCACTAAAGATGTTTAAAACCACCAAGTTACATTAGAGGTGTGTGGAGTACCAACATCTTAAAGAGTAAAAAAATCCCCGACCCAAGCATTATCTTTCTAAAGCTGCAAAGCCCCAACAGATAAAATTTTGAACTTCCAAGATCATAACCCTGGGTCAGCAAAATGACAAAACTTGGATTGTAAGATTGCCAAGGACAGCTGTAAAGATGGTTTTAACCAAGATGTATCTTCACACCATCAACCATAGCAGCATCACTGTTTGGTCAAAGCAGCAAAGTTGATAGAAGCACAAGATCTGATGCAACATGAAAAGCCAGATCAGTAAGGATATGTAGTGTCTTGCTCAAAGAAACAGCAACTGCAAAAAGAGGGCTAAAGAGGCCAATGGGAAGATCTCTGTTGATGAGCATATGTTGACAGGGGACTTCAAAAGGTTTCTGTCATATTTCAACAGTGTGATCACACACAAATCCAAGGATTAAGTAAAGAATACCTATTTCATTCTCCAGCTGTTTCATATATATGCACTAAAGTCTTATCTTGGTGAACCCACACCCTGTGGGCCTTGTTTGCAGATTGAAAATTTTCTTGGTTATGTTACATAATGTTATCTGGGGCACATGGACAGCTTCGTGGTTGTGGATTATCACCTACTACAAGATTGCTTACCATGTTTGTGATAAAACTTGTTGGAGGTTTCTTTCTGGATGGTTCTGTATATCCCAAATTGATCCATATTTCTTTGGTTTCCAAATCCCAATTTGAATACATCTTTATGACCTGAGTATATGAATTTTACATTCGAAATGACTGTTACATATCTTTCCTAAAAGCAATTAATTTTTGGTAGCATCACACTACCTACATAACACCAAACAACATTAAAATGTAGTTCTTATATATGCCATTCCACCACAACTTTATATTGGCTGTTTGTCATATGATTTGCTGATTTGGATATTCAAAATCATTATAATTTAATGGTATCAACACTCTATATACATGCATACACACAACAGTAACTACCATACCCTTTATCTATGTGAACACAACTTACAAATTACTTTATACTCAACATGAGCAACATGCCTACTGAAAAATATCTGAATGGCTATATGGTACAACTACCTTTAGGATTACTTGTAAACCATTCAATAGATTTAAAGATTAATTAATTTAAGAAAATGGCTATATACTTAGTACAACTTAAAAAATTTTACTGCATAAAATGTTCTTTCCTATTTAAAGCTTCTAAGTCCCAAAAAGAGAAACTCGGTGAAAAAGAAGAAAAGGATTTTACATTTGCTTGGTTTATGTATACAACCCTCACTAGAGAATATTGATAGTAACCCACTGCCTTATGTTGTTTTTCTTTAGTTCATTTTCTGAAGAAATAAAAACTGTGAAATAATGGTCAACTTTCCATTTAAGAAAATTTGCAACTTTCCAAGAAAGATATGGTTAACATTCATTCAAACATGGAGGCATAACTACAGGATAAACATTACTTTATCCTGTGAACAGAAAAAGAAATGGTGGCCAAAGTTTAATTTGGAGTTAACCTTACATGCAAATTAATGTTTACTATAAATCAAAATTGACTATATGTATCTTCATGAAATTTGGCAAGCTTTTGGTAAGCACTAAAAGTCTGATGTATACAATAAACTAATTTTTTTAATAAAGTACTTTTATTAAACATTTGTCTGTGAATTTACAAAGTCAGTCTGATCCAGACTCTTACTAGTCTGATTGCAAGGTTAATATCATGTTTTGAATAAAAACATTTTTTTCACCTTAAAGTTTTAATATTTCATTTGCATAACCTCTAGAATCTCTTAAATGAATATCAAAGTTTTGTCAATAAAACTTTCTATCTTATCTGTTATTTTTTCTTTTCTAACATTAACTGTAGCAAAATCAGCAATGTGGGGTAAAATGAGAAGTTGAAAAATATACATAATAAATGTAAATTTTCCCCTTTTTTCTTGCTAGAATGAATGCATATTGTAACATCTAATTTATTCTTAAAGCTGAAGCTCATACTTTTAATTCAGTTTCATTGCTTTAAAACTGAAATTAAACCCTCTCAGAGTACATCACAGCAAGACAGCTTTGTGTAAAAGAAAGATCAAGTTAGCAGCATAAATGTAAAATTACACAATCATGCCTCGCAAGCACTTGTGATAGTCTTCTTACCTTCTTATCTTATCTTAAGTCTTCTTATCTAACCTAATAAGTTTCTAATTTTTATATTTTAGTTACTTTTATAACAATACATAAAAAATATACATAAAGAGCAAGAAATTTAATATTTGCTTCTGGAATCTTGTTTTCTTAAAAGATCATATAATTAAGAACGAAGCAACTAATGCACACTATGCATACCTTTTGGAAGTGATATTGTTGTATAACAAATTATTACTTTTATTTAAAATATGCAATTTAGAATACAAAATATTAAAATGCACAAAAAAAAAGAAAATATCCTAAACTACAATAATTTAATAAGCTATAAATTAGTTTTAAAAATTCCATTAGCTTGTCAAGCTGAGCTTACACAATAGCAAACAAAGAAACTGAGGCCAAGTTCTTCAAAACCTGTTCACTGCTAGCCTTGTGGAATAAATTAAAAAGTACAGTCTTCTCTTTCTATTGATTATAAATGATTTAACAACAAACATTAGAGAAAATTAATGACATTTTTTTGAAAGATGGAATGTGATAGGAGAGTAATAAGTGAGTTTAGTTTATTTGTTTATACCTCAGTAAAGCAAGAATCTTGGAGAATTGAAAATTCTATTATAGCTTAGCAATATCTATACTATAAGTTTGTTATTTATTTCAAACATAGGAAATCATGTAGGAATAGAAAGAAAATATAAAATGAGTTATTCTGAGTGAATAAGTATCACATGATATTAACAGTTGAATTATAAACTACTCTTAGATGCCAATTTTCTTGACATAGATTGATAATAAAGTTGTTTAATTACATTTTGAATATAATGCTATCAAAAAGTCTCAACAAGTGCACTGTCATCCCAACCCCTGTATGCATGATTAATGGACAATAACCATAATACATACATATATATGTTGAAAATATTTGTTCTGTTCCCACTTAATACAAGTTGGACTAATACCGTTCTAATTTTAGCATAATAAAGAAACATTTTTAACTGTTTATATTAAAATCAAAACAAGGACTTACCATTAAATAAGAACACCAATGAAGTGAAGTCATTAAAGCAGGTTTTATTATATTAGCTCTTTTTCTTGTACATAAGGTATGTTATGCCAATATTTGGAATGAAATGAAAATAAACCATACCTCTTTTAAGATGCATAGGCACCTTTTGTATTTACCTACAGACCTGCTTTTTTTAAATTACTTTTATTTCAAAACTTAGTTCATGATTAACTCTTACCATTGAATATACTAACAATGAAATACTAATAAATATTAATTTGGGTATGTGCACTATTAGACTCAGTAGCAAATACACATGCTCACATAATAACTGGTTCAGACATCACATTTATCCACATGTGAACGTTTTTATACGAAGTTGCCTAAATCAACTAAACTTGAGAATTAAATTTAAATCTTTCCTACTGGTCTGTCATATTATAAGTTACTATAACTTACAGATGAAAAAATATAAAGTGTTTCTCATTGCTAACATAACTCCATGTTAACAGTGACACAAGTAATGCATCTCAAGATGCAATAAGGACTATTTACATTCTTTTCTAATGTTAATAATTCCACAAGTTAAGAAAATTATAATAAATTAGAATGTTATTCCTACAGAATACAGATCCATACGTTAATATGTGGAATAACTAGTATGTATGATAAATGCAGGCAAAGACAGACAGAATTTCCAAAAACCATGAAAATATTTTAATGCAAATGGATAATGCTCATGAACACTTGAAGAAATGACATTTTTTATGACTTTTATATATATTGATATTTAATTGTAGTGACTTGAATCAAAGGCTTATCTCTTAACCTTTTGTTATTATATATTAATGTTTTAGAAGTGAGTTACTGTTTCCTGAAGAATCAAACTCTCTGTATCAGATAAAACTTTAGCTGGTGAGTCACTTGTTATGGATTTCACTTCTGCCTTTTCATCTCTATGGTCAGAACAATAAAACTGCCCATCTACAGCAAAAACATTTTCTGGTGTACCATGTTCTTTGCAAAACGAGTTAGGACACTCAACACAAAGAATTATGGATGCTTTTCCACACTCATCACAGTGATGCCAAGGGCACTCCCACTTTCCTGAAAAAACAAATCAATTTAAGAATACCAACTCTGAAATTAATGACATGAAAAATACAAAAAAAATTTTTCAGTAAAACTTAATTTTTTTATATAATTCAATCTATAAAAGTATCACACAAAGCCCAAAAAGAACTTTTGTTATTAACTTTAAATTTTTGCAGGAAATCATTGGTTTAATACTCATTTGAAGGTATAGGTTCAATCAGTTCATTAATTATCAACATGAACACAGTGTTCTTAACATTCAATGTAGCTTTGTTCCTTTAATAATGGTACCACTGCAAACCAAAGCTGAATGTTAACAAAACTATGATATTCATGGGAGTAGCAGAAATTTTTGTCAGTATATGCACAAATAAATTTTCCCTCTGACATTGCAAACAAATGCATAATTATTCCTGGTAGTTGGCTTGTGGAATAAATCACTGCACAGGTATTAAAGTATATTAAAAATAATATAAGACAAAACAACAAATTACCAAAAGAACCAGGTCAAAATTTTTTTCTTCTTTCTTTCTGTGAGACATCTTGCTACTGGTTCTGTTCTGGTCAAAACTTCCAGGACAGATCTCGATACCCAATACAGAACTCTCCCATCCCCAGATATTGTTCCTTAAAGTGAAGTTCTACTTTTCACAAAGTTCATTGAATGTAATGAGTGTAAATAAAACTCGCTCATTCAGCTGATAGTATTGTTTATATGGTTTTAATATAAGTATGATCACTGAATACAAAAATTATTATCTTTTTTGAGAAATATTACACCTAATAGTTTTCTCCTATTTATTTCAAAAGAAAATTTGGAAATAAAATGTGGACTTGATTATAAAGAATAAATACTTTATTTATTTGACTACTATTAATAAGCTTTTTAAACTATCTATGAATGACTTCAGTTGTGAAAAAGAGAGAAATGTAATGAAATTACCATAAGGAGGCTTGGTTAAGTTGAGACAGTTGAGGTGGTAAGCTTTGGGGCATCCTTTTTTGTCACACATTAAAATTTCTCCTCCTTCTCCACATCGGAAACATTCATCTTCATGTTTGGGTACTTGAGATTTTTTTTTTTCTTTTTAATTAAAGTTTCTTTGGCTCGTTTTTCCTGTAAGGCCAGTGCTGTAGTCTATTTTTTTTAAAGGAACAATATATATTATTTCACATCATTCAATAAATACAACTTACAATGTACTTTATACACGTAAAAAAACATGGTTTGATTTCTCTTTATAATTACTCCTGCTGTATTAGTGAGAAGAAGCTTTCAGGTATAAGAAAATCAACATAAATCTTAAAATCTAACATACTATATAGAGCCTTGCAGTGCAAAGACCATGAATTCCACCATTAAGCCACTGCACTTTTCAATTAAGACATTCTAGATCCATAACAAATACCAACCAAGCAAGGGATTGCCTAAATGGCACCTAAGGAGATAGTCATTAACGGACAGGTGTTGTACACCTATCACTGTAATAATCTGCAATCACCAACTCTCAGGTTTCCCTATGTATATTAAATATCTTGCACCACTACGACCTATGAAAATCATCCAAGACAGAAAATGTACAGATTGGCATAACACTGGTGAAACATTCAAGTTTCCCATAAACAGCACAAGGATGGAGCTAGAAGGCATAAAACAAGCTCTCTTTTGGTTTACTAAAAGAAACAGATCATAAACAGAGAATGCCACCAACATAATACTTGCAACGAGAGATTTCTCGTGATTTGCATTACTATATAATGACATTATAATGCTGTAAAAACCTTCCAATAGGAGGGCAACACACCTCCCTGTGCACTAGCTCCCTCTATGCTTTTGCATACGTGATCTTCATTCTATGATGATGCAAGGAATACTAAGTTACACCAGAAGTAGGAAGGAAGGGTGGGAAGTGTGTGATGAGGTATCTAATGGAAATACATTTTCAGGTACGGAAAATGTTAACTTCTGAAACGATACACACCTCTTCACACAAAAAGCTAGAATTCCATATTGATAAGGTGGAGGGAACAGTGTTAAATGTTATTTAGATGAGCTCCCTTCAGAAAGTACCTGAAGGAAACCAATGGAGTGCAACACCCAATTGTAGTGGCTCAATAGGGATATGCTCGTGCGAGACTGCATCTTATCTCTTCCAGGATACACCCTTTGCCCAGAGTAGAAGGAAGAAAGAGGCAAATGAACCCAACGTGTCATTGGTAGGGGAGGAATAAGAACATGGCTGTCTAAGTACTTGCACACAAGAGGTCGGAGAGCCAATATGTGTATCATGATTAGGGTGTAGTCAGACCGTACCTAGTGCACACCTCAACTCTACCATCAGACTTATTACCCTGATGCCAGCTGCAGGAGGAGGGCACAGAAATTAATCGTGCATGCTTGTCTCAACTCTACCAGCCGACTCATGGATCAACATCAGCTGCAGGAGCGCACAGAACTCATACCACAGAGTGTGTAATGATGGTGCATACTCACCTCAATTCTACCATTAGACTCTTGGACCAACACTAGCTGCAGGAGGAAGATACAGAAATTCATGCCATAAGGTATGTAATATTAAACGTGCACATGCCGACTCAACTGGACAGCATCAGATGCAGGAGAAGGTCACGTGCATATATATATAGTGTGCTCATCTCGACTCTACTGAACAGACATGACCATAGGAGAAGTGCATGGTGTTGTAGTGCATGCTCACTTTGACTCTAGGGGACAGTTGAGCCTGCAGGAGGAGGGCACATATTTTAAAATGTGCTCATCTCAACTCTACTGGACAGTCCCAAGCTGCAAGAGGAGGGCAAATTATGCCTCTGGAATGTTGTTGGTATAATTATATATATGGGGTGACATGCTCTACATTGACAGTGTACCAATGCCCCACTTCCGTCTGATTGATACCCCTTGTTCTTGCCCCAGCAGTTAGTTCCCAATATGTGAGGGTTCTCCATGACCCACAACAGCAGCAGCTAGGAACTGGTAAGTGGTAAGGGTCTCCTTGCTGCACTTGAAGAAGGGGGGGGGGAGTTCATGGTGGGGTGACCTGGAGAAAATGCCTGGATCCCCTTCAATCTTGTTTTAGCTGGAGACAGTGCAACAGGTGACCACGTAAATCTATTTTGAAAAGTCAGCAAGTTCGAGCCAGGGTAAGAAGCAGAGCACATCCTGATGCTGGCTTTTTCCATGATGGTCCAGTGAACAGATATCATAATATAATACGAGGATACCTCAAGTAGTCTTGCAGAATGCTTTATCTCAACAGTGGGAATATATGGAGCCAGGTGGAAAGTATGAGTGCTTTCCATTATCCTGGCTCAATGCAGAATTTTGGGACATAAGTGTATGTGGGAGGCACCACCAACCGCTTGGGAAGACTGAAGGATGACGACTAGAGGCATGCAGTGATCTTCAGGAGAAGAGACAGCTAGATGGTGAAGAGAGTGAGCAATGATGTTATGCGAGATAGTCCTCATGCTGAAAGGATCTTGTCCAGTGGCCTTCGGAAACGACTGGCAGGAGAATGAGAGAGGTGACAAATCTGATGGGATGAAATGCAAACCATTTGCAAGCAACAACCCCCCCTATGAGAAGTAGGCTAAACAAAGAATTTAGCAGACCCTGTAAATGTAGAAGCAGATTTGTCCCTGGAAGAATAAGAATCCCAGTAAATGTAGAGTCGAAGACAGAAACTCCAAACGTGAGAGGTATGAGCTATGTAGCAAAGAACAATACAAAAAGGGCACAAAAGTCAGTTCGGGTCCAAACAATCACAGAAGAGTGAAATAGAAGGAAGGGAGAGAGGAGAAGGGTAGAGATCTCCTCCCAGAGCAGCTGAAGATCAGTCTGAAGAAATGAGAATATAAGGATGATGGAAAGCAGACAGGATGAGTCACTAGCACAAAGATCTGCACAAAATTAATCACAAGTGAGAAGTAAGAGGAATATGTCTGAAAAGAACTATCTAACATTCTGTATAGAGCCTTGCAGTGCAAAGACCATGAATTCCACCATTAAGCCACTGCACTTAGATCACAACAACTTTGTGAGTCACTAGCACAAAGATCTGCACAGCATTAATCACAAGTGAGAAGTAAGAGGAATATGTTTGAAAAGAAAGTATTAGAAGCTGCAGGTTGCCAACGATCAAAATGGCATGGGTAAAAGTGTGCAGGATGACACTGAGGTCCCAGTCAAGTAAGGGAACAGGCCTAGGGTATCGATAGATAAGGAAGGCCCGGAACAAGGTGGAGAGAACTGGGAAGGAAACACTTTGCAGTATCAAGAAATATGAAATGGTGAAGACTAGGCCACCCAATAACTAGCAGAGGTGGGGACAGATGAACCCTGTCTAACAGTATGGTAAAGAGAGATGTCTGAGAGCAGATAAATCAGGAATAAGGTGGTGAAAGATGGATCAATGTCGATAGCCATGCCCACCCACATGAGAAAAAGGACTAAGTAGAATGATGCACAGACTAGTAAAGGAAAGGATTACCATATGGGAAAGTCTAGTTCAACAAGCGATGGACTGGACTAATCCAAATGTGAAGGTGGAAAGACAAGATCCAGTGATGGGAAAGAGACAGGAAGTGAAGAGGGGGGTTAGGTTGTCAGATGGCACAGAAGAGAGAACCAAGGGTAAGCCAGCCAGAGGCATATCACCAAAAGGACACAACAAGTTGTGAAGTGGGAATCCAAAGATGGGGAACTATGGGCTGAGGTATAATGGTGGAAAGTAGGTTACAGTGTGGAAACAAAGTGCAAAAGCAAAAATTGGTGATGGGCAGCCTCAGTCCATAAACCAATTAAATCAGAAAAACCTCAAAACTGAGCAAAGGATCCTCAATAACAGAGAGGTGAGTGGGCAAGGAAAGGTAGAAGTGGAATGGCCACAATGAAGATGTGAAGGGAACAAGAATCACCCGCAAAATTCTCTAGGGCATGATGGAATGCCTCGGACTTGAGGTGTAGAAAGGAGAGGTAAAGATGTGTGATAAAAAGGATTAGGCATAGACAGAAGTATTGGGTAATGGGGAAACACTGAAGCCAATATTAATAACAGGAACACCACTTTTTAATTGTAAAAGGTAAATTATAACAAAATACCCGTAACAGATTATACTCACAAGATACTGAAAACTTTTGCCATTAAATTCAGGAAACCTTAGTTTAATGATAAAGAAGCTACGTTTTTAATGATATTGAGACCATAAATGAACCGTGATTTTTTTCTGTCTATTTTCATAAGTATGAAGTAACACAGAAGTTAGGCTATCACCAAATCTTATCAGGCATTAAGCTTTCCATGGCTGACTTACTGAGATTCTTACTTGTCTTCATTCTTTTCTACAAACTACAGCTGAGTGATGGTTGTACAAACCTATAGTTTCTATACATCTTAGTTGTAGGTATTTACCTCAGTAGAACACTTTACATTCATTTTTTATCACTTTTATAATAACAGCTATGATATAATATTCTTAAATATTCTTAGTTATACAAATAAACTGTGATACACCAAAACTGATTTCTCTTCCAAAATCACATAACAAAAAAAAAAAACTTTCAAAAACAAAATTGTTACTGTCCAGTTAAAGCAACCATGTACAATTTATTTTATGCCTAAATATCATTATGAAATGAAAAACTTGGAATGGAAGCAAAAACACTTCAAAAGTTTGTCATATAATACCCCAAAATAACTAATCAGTCTATTTTGTTTTAAATATTCAACTAAAATATACCCCAAAAATGTCCCATTTCACTGACATAAGATAATATCAATGTAACTATATGTTCGAGTCACTGATTAAAAGAATGCTCTTCTTATGAAGTTTATTTTCACAGTATTTGCCACTAAATAAATTATAAACATTATAAAACACAATGTATAAAACTCTACTAATTAATCTCAAGTAATTAAACTATTCTAGTATTGAAGTATTGTTCCTACCTTAAAAAGTTTTTATGACAAATGAGACTAAGAATCACATGAATTATATAAACAATGCCAATTTTTCCAATATTTTCAGATTCTCTCTAATAAGCATAAAAAATTCAAATATCCTTCAACAAATATAGTTTTTAGAAGGTCACACACCTTTGGTCGAACTCCAATAAAGCCACTACAGTTTGGCGCACCACACATACACTTCGTCTTCTCATCTCCCCGACACTCTAAATTATAGTTAAAAGTGAGCTCTGAACCTGGATAAAAAAAACACAAGTAACAAAAGACTGTATTCACAAATACTTTATATATGAAAATTTTGTTTCTAATTCTTTGAGATTACTGTTAATTTTTACTATTGTATTTCTGTACAACTGTTCACAAATTTTTTGTATGAAGTTTATCAAATTGTATGAACTTGTTTCAGTTGACTGATTTGTATTTTATTTAATATACTGAAGTTGGTAAAATCTAAAATCAATTTAATTTAAAGAAATTCAAATTAATTATATGCTTAAATTTAGTGTTAATTGTATGTTTTAATCTTAGAAACCCACTGAGCACTTAAAGCCCAAAATTACCTTATTTTCTTACTACACTTTTCCAAACAATTATCCATTTCGCTAACATTTTGAATTTCATTTTCTCATTTCTGGAATACACATACTACAATTACATCTGTATTATAACCACCTTTATATACTGATCACCTCTTTATGGTGTCCATTTATTATTTGCTGTAATTAACTTTTAATATTTAAGACCCTTTATAGAGTGGTCATTTCTACAACACATCTTCTCAATGAAATGGTGCCAAAGTTCACTAATAGCCTAAAATCTGTGTTTATGAATTTTTATGAATTTTATGATTCTATAATTTACTCTTATATGTTTTTATTTAATACAGAAATGAAAACTGCATATAGAAACAAGACAGACATAAGAATAATTTTACTACTGTATGATGTTAAATTACCATAAATATATATATACATATATATAATGATGGATCATACATGAATTCTGTGCAGGTTTTAGTGTACTTCTAAACCCAAACTAACCTTTTTACAATACACTTAACATTGTACATACACAAACTACAGATGTAAAACTAGGATGTGTCACTACTTTCAGGACAACAATTTCTGAATAATATACATTAATATATTAACATCAAACATTTACATATTTTTAATTACTTAATACTCATTATTTTATGTTTGATTATTTATATGCTAGCAACAGTTGGCTAGAATCATTTCTCAAGCGTCATAATATTGCCTTTTGTTCAATACATGAAGAAAGTGTAATGTAGATGACAGTGCTGTTGATGATTTGAAGCTTAATTCTCCATACACAGGCTTAGTCATTTAGATTTGGAATGTAATATGTGTATTTTCATGAAATCTAGCAAGCTTTTAGTAAACATGGCAAGTTTGTTCTATGTAAAAAAATCAGATTTTTAAGTAAAATATTGTTCAGTAAAGATGTATCTTTGAATTTTTAAAGCCTTTCCTCAGTCAATCTGAAAGATGATTTTCATCCTAATGAATACCATAAGCTTTTATATGGTCAAACCTTATTTGCTATTTTCTCTAACACTAACTATAGCAAAATCAACACTATTTGAATCATGTCTACCTACTGTGACAAGCAGTAAATCACCAGGTGGGATAGCAAAGTAAAACAGTTCAGATTACCATACGCATGTACTGCACACGTAGCATGAGAAGTGACAATGTAAGAGTTTTTTTAATCATGTTTTCACTTCAGGTTTCTTATCTAGCCTACTAAGTTATTAATTTTTACATTTTAGTTGCTTTTATTAAAAACTATATAACAATAAATAAAAAATATACATAAAAAATCAAGAAATTTTTAGCTTTGCTTTCAACCAGTTTGCACTTGGTTGAAAGCCATCTCTATTTTCGTAACCATAATTTTTCCTACTAACTTTGTCATCTGAAAAACAACCACATAGCTTTCAATATGAATTTTAGTAAATCAAAAACATATCACTCACTATATTAGTTGTACTACAATTGTAATATATTTGGACTTCTAACTAAGTTATAAATATATTCAAAAAATTCCATTTCTGCTCAAAACAAAGACTTACTCAATGCACATCTAGATCTTCTTGAGAACTACTGTCTTTGTATATCAAAATTTAAGAAATGAAACAAAAAACATTCTTGTACATTACAATATGTTCTGTCCATCAGTTATGAGCATGACCAATTGCAAAGTCAGACAAAATTATAAATATTTTTTAAAAGACAGAGGGTGTGGGAGGAGAGTTTAAATGTTGGTTGAACATAGATATATCTCAGTAAAGAATATGCTTCTAATTAGTTGAACATCTAAAATGTTTGCAAGGGAAGGGGGAAAAATCTGTGAGAAATCACAGCTACACCAAGTAATGTGACTCAGAGTTGAAGATTGAGAATTTATAAATATTTTCTTTTAAAGTTAAGAAATTAAAATTTAGATAATTTAAAAATTTGAGTTATGAACTATGTTTTGATACCAAGATTATTAAAATATATTGATAATAAGGATATCTAATTAAATTTGTAACTCTGTAAAAGGTGGTGACAAGCAAACTTTGATTCCCACCCATATTCAAAGGGTTAAAACTGCTAGAACTGCATCAGGATTACAAACTGAAAGAAACTTTTAATGAGGATGTACTGGATTATTTCAAAGAAATATAATAGCAAAGAAAACTTGTGTTAAAAGAGGCTGGACCAGTATGTTTTTGTATGGAATAGTTTGAATACCAATTGCATTCTCTAGTTGCCTGAAGTATGTGACAGCTAAAAAGGAGGTATAAATGGAAGCTTTATTTTGGTGAACCCATACCCTGATGACCTCCTTTGCACACCATGTTTAAATGTTCATTTTCTCACTCAACACTCCCTAATATTATAACTTAAAGACAGCAAGTTCTGACATTTTGTCTCTCATTTAAAAAAAAACTCTTTAAGTTTTTACTAAATAAATGGTTTATCTGTACATATTATTTATCCCTTTACACATCCTCCATAGCTTGTAGAAATTACAAAATGTCTCTGATCAGAGGTAGAAAAAGATTTAGTAAGAATAAAAAATAATTAAAACTATATATACACACATACACATATATCTTTATATATTTCAATTCTATAAAATTTACTGCATTCACAGTTAAATTAATGAACATTACACAACTGATGTCCAAGAGAACATGTACATGTCTAAGCAGTGACCATTACCATACTCACTATTATTGATAAGCAAGACGTTTGCTTGTACAACCTTAAATTAAAATAAATGTTAGGTCTTCCTACTATATAGTAATGTTTTTGTTTCATTTCAGATTTTGTTCAGAATACATTTTGTATGTGCCATAATCATAAGTTAGTATGCTTGAAACTTGATAAAGTGCTATAAGTGAAAGTTATATTTATTCAAGTAACCCGGAATATTATAATAGAACCTACCTAAGTTAACATTTTGCAGTACAATGTATACATGTTATTTTCATTTTCTTTTACTTCTGAAAAATACCTACAGTAAGATGTTTGCTAGGTTATTAAAAGATACAACTGTTGGACTATTTAGTGAAAATTTAAATATAAATCATAATTCATCAATGTGATAAAAATTTGTATTATTACATCAATTGTTCCATGGCATTTTCAAAAGTTAACACCTAAATTGTGTATTCAAAGCATGAACAATTACTGTTTGCTTTGAATTTACTTTGCATCCTTTGTCTTTGCAATGTCAGAAAATAAGTAAACTTTTTCCCAGAACACTTTACACAATATGTTTATTCTAATACAAACTTAGGGCTGAAATAACAATACATCAAAACAAAGTTTTCATAGATATTTTATCACTTAGAAGCAAAAGTAATAAAAACTTCACATTTAACCACTATTCAAAGATAGATGAAATACATAGTTATACTATACACAATAACAAAATACCAGAACCTTTCAATAGCTCATTGGCTTTTTACATCACCTACCTGCAGATATATCACAAATAGCAAAAAGCCCTACTCTTGTGTCTCCATTAACCATCCATTTTTGAGTTTCACAGTTTGGCTGACAAGAATGGTTCATAAAACGAGATAGGTTTCCCTTGGGGCCAGCATCAATGATGCGGTCTTTGTCAATGGTTAAGAAGTAAAAATTTGTATCATTTTCTTCATGCATCTGTTTGAGGCGCTTCTGGCACTCCTCTTCATCAATCAACTCTCCAACATATTCAGTCACAAACTCACCCTGCCATGACAACATAAACTGTTGCAATGAACTTTGCCATTTGTAATGAAAATATACAAGTAATACTTATGTTTCAATATTATTTATTTTCATGCACAATAAATAAAGCTTAAACCTGTAAATTTTAGAAAAACCAAAATAATATTGTTTTTCCTTTGTAACTCTTTTCAAAATAATCAATACTAATACAAATATGAAAAAAACAAAAACAGACATAACTTTGTAGACCTGCTAGTACAAAACCTAAAAGTGCAAAATACATGCAAGAAAATGAAATTCAATCAATCACTACTTACATCAGCAAAACTAATATCCTGAACAGGGATATAGAAATATTGCAGTCATGTACACAATGTGCATCAAAAAAAGTTAATCAACAACAAACCATTCCAAATTCAATAAACCATGGACTATTGTACAGAGAGAAAACTTATTTTCAGTAAATAAAATCTGATTTGCTATAAACTTCTCTTCTGTACTGGACATCAGCTCACTGAATGTTTAGTATTTAACATCTTAGCAAAAACAAAAGTGTAAAGATTTATATAAATATAAGTTTCAATTTCATACTGAACAAGATGAGTGTTCAATTCAAGTAGTATAAAAACAATCTTAATTTACTTTTGTTAGTTCAGTGTCTAAACTGGTGAACCCCAGTTCTCTGAAAGTTTAAACAAATACTGATCCATGAAAGGATGACAGCCATGACAACAACCTAAACTGAATTCTCCTCTGTTTCAGTTTGTGAGTGAAAAAACAAAAGTGTAAAAGAGCAGATCAAGGACAGTGGTTGAAGTGCCTAACTTCACATAAACTCTGTTTGTTAATGACCCAGTTTGGAACTACAGCATGAAAAGTATATAATTGTGCACCAAAAACATTTAACATTAATTTATTACTGAACGAATAAAAATAAAATACTCATCAAAGCAGTGATCATCAAAAACAAAAGTAATATAAACTTCAGATTTGATAGCTGTTTATACATTGTCATATATCATCTATATATTGTCAGATGAAAAACAATGTTCTGTAATAAAGGTGACTTATGATGTCCCAAAATGTAAGAAGGGGAAGTGGTTAAACAATACAGTCCCCATAAATTCTGTCAAGTCACAAAATAAAAGCTCATTATTATTCCAAAAGGGAGTTTAAACATCAAACTTTAAATACATTTGTCACTAACAAATACTTTGAATAAAAAAGCATGTCAGTTACACCATGAATGTTATACCTCAATGTTAATCACAAAACTGTTGGTTTTCAATCATCAAAGACACTGATTACAAGAAACATAACTGGATTCACTTAAATAACTTCAGAAACAAAAAAGCTTACCTAAGCAAATTAAAAATAAAAAAATGAAGACCCAAATATGAGAAATAAAACCCAAATTCCAAGAGATAAGAAAAAGGAAACAAAGAACTAACTTTAAGTCATGGAAAGGATATCATAGGATGAATTTATGTAACAGATTACCAAAAATTCCAAGAAAAAAATGTGACCATATAAGTTAACAGATGTGGCAAATTTGAAAATCACTGATTATCCCTTTGATTATGGTGAAGTCCATCATTAAGAAGTGGAATGTGCTGCATACCACCCAGTCACTACCCAGAACAAGCTGCCCTTCCAAACTAAGCAGCAAGGCAAGCAGGAAACTGGTTAGGAATGCCACTGTGAAGTCAACAGTGACTTTGGCTTGATATGCAAAGTTCCATGTCTGAGAAGGGAGTCAGTGTTCATTCAATGACAATATCCTGGTCCCTACTCAAAGCTAGCATGTATGGGCAAGTGGCAAAAAAAGAAGCTATTACTGAAAAAGAATCATCTTAAATCTTGTATGACATTTGCAAAAAAAGCATGTAAACAATACTGCAGACATGTGGCAGAAGGTTTTATTGTCAGACAAGTCAAAAATTGAGCTCTTTGGTCTAAATTAAAAATGTTACATCTCGCGCAAGCTCAACATACCACATCACTCTGTCAACATCATCCCAACTGTTAAGCATGATGGTGGCAGCATCATGTTATGGGGATGTTTCTCATCAACATGGACTGGGAAGTTTGTCAGAATTGAGGGGAAGATGGTTGGTGCAAAGTATAGGTGAATCCTAGGGGAAAACCTGCTTGAGTCAGCAAGGAATCTAAAACTGGGTCCAAAATTCACATTTCAGCAGGAAAATGACCCGAAGCACAAGGCCAAAGCCACACTGGAGTGGTTTCAAAATAAGAAAGTGAATGTCCTGGAGTGATCCAGTCAAAGTCCTGACTTGAATCCAATAGAAAGTTTATGACGATACTTGAAGATTGCAGCCCATTAACGATCCCCAATGAACTTGTCATAATTGGGGCAACTTTAAAAGGAAGAATGAGCAAAAATTACACCATCTCATTGTGCAAAACTGGTAGAGACATATCCAAAAAGACTCATAACAGTAAATGCTGCCAAAGATGCTTCTGTCAAGTACTAACTTAGAGGGCTGAATACTTATGCAATCAGCAAATGTCAATTTATATATTTTCTTTGCAGGTTTTCCTGACATTCAGTCTCCTTCACACATAAGTGTTAAGTTTGATCATAAGAGTTTTGAATAAAAACAGGTTCATTAAACATATTGTTTATATTATTTGTATTTCATCAAAATGTGGCATTACTGATAGGGGTGAATACTTTTGCAAGGCACTGTATAATGATACGTGATTGTTGATCATTAGCTTTTTGAGCATTATCAAAGTATAATAACTTTCACAATAAGAGTAACATGCAGGAGATAGGGTATAATAGAGGAATTAAGAAATAAATAAATTTGAAAATAGTTTGAAAAATCTAGAAAACACAGCTAATTTTACAGTACAGTTAAGGTACTATATTTGAATTTTATTTTACACTAATTACTATAGCAAAACAAGACAAATACGCATCAACAAAATTTTCCATGCTGCATCACATTTAATGTTGAATTTACTTACTTTTTTCACATCTATCAAAGTCTGAAGTCCCCAACCCCTATCTTTCACTTCGAATGGTCTAGCTGGAACATACTGACGTTTCTGGAACCTCTGGTTTTGACACTTATCTTCAGCTGGACAAGAACTTGGACACTCGAACATCAACACACGATTAAGACAATCTATCTCATTACTACATGGATTTTTAGAATTGGGATCACACTCGCACCGATTCAAACTCAGTAGGTCTACAGTATAGATTTGTACTTTCCCAACAGGTTTATTTGACTGAAATAATAGCAAGAAATACTGGTTTTAAACCTACTTATACTTGTTAATAAGGGTCTCACCTTTCCATAATTACAAGTAAATACCTATAAATCGATCTTTAGTTAACTTTTCCATATATTAATGAAAGCAAAACAAAATTTCACAGAAATCAAGCATTTATGAAGGAACCAAAGATTACTGAAAATTACTTCAAAGATAAAGAAATGTCTTATATTTTCATACAGCATCATTTTTATAAACAGGATTAAAATCTACAAAACTTTAGAATTTGGATTTTATTAGTATAATTCTCTTTTGATTAATTTTACAAACTAACACATTTAAATGTTAAACTTTACACATTTGTCTCTTGATTTTTATATCAAATTATGAAAGACATCCTTACATTAAAGCAAATATTTTATGAGCTTAAAAGCATAAATCAGTCCACCAAGAATTTTACAATTGCATGCAAATACATTTTCCTACAAAATTTTGTTTGGAATGCAAATCCATAACTCGGGAAACATTTCATAATTTCATTTTTCACAAGCAATTCACAAAAAGTGAAAAGTAGCTTTAGAAATCTAGTTCAGAGTAATTAATTTATTCTATCACATTTATATATAAAATGTTACTTTCCATGTAATTGCAGTTTTAAATGTAGGTTAAATTTTGGATTCTATGTACAGGATGTCCCAGAAGTCTGGATCCATAGGGTAAAATATACAATGTATTCTTAATTTATTTATTATTCAAACTGCATGCCATTAACAGCCATATACATTACTGTGGCATCAGGGTATTTTATTTCCTGAAATATGTACAACCGACATTAGGTATGTGTTTGTTTAAGAATATAATGTCTATTTTCCCTATAAGTCCAGACTTCTGGGATACCCTGTATTACTAACTGAATACAGACAAATTACTGATTTTTTGTAACTTTTGCCTGTTACACTGATATTCATGTCATATGTTACAGTGGCTTCTAACTTTTACAGCAATCAAGTAATTCTGCAGTGTGAAGTCATATTAGCTTGGCTCAAAACTACAAAAGGCCAATAGTATAAGTATAAACTGTAGTGAAAATTGCCAGCTCTGCTGCTGGATACACATGAATTAATTGAATTGTAAATTATTTTGCATTTAATCTCTAATGAAGTGCAATACACTTAGAAATTTTATTTACTATTTGATGATATTATCTCAGAATAATCATACAGAAACCACTGAAATAATGCTTTGCAAAAAATAAACTGAAAAAGATTAATCACAAAATGAAAGCAAACCATAAAATCTTCAGATAAATATTAAGAACAACTGTTTTCCATTGCTTCCTATTGGATAACTGTTGTCATGAGATGTAACTGCCAGGTGTTTGGTTCATAGCAAGTCACACAAATGGTGAAAAGCATACACGTGAAAGTGAGAAGTTGAGAAGTTTTTACAAAAGGATGTTTGACATATGCAGAATTATCTATTATAAAACAAATATTTACTTGTTACACTCTCATTCTAACTGCATTTCCTCACATCAGAACTATGATTCTTAAAAGACCATTTGCTGCATTTTTATGCTGTTTTAGTGGCTGATGTTTGTTAAGGTCATGTATGGCAAATGACATGAGAGGCTGGTGCATTCCTCAAGGAGAAATGGTGTATTTAATTGTTTTTGTGTTTTCTTATTTAACTTCATAATATTCAAATTTTTACATTCTAGTCACTTTTGTTGAAAAGTATATAATAATAAATCAAAAATATATATAAGTAAAACCAAGAAATTAAACACTTATTTGAGCCTTGAGCTCTTCTGCTCTCTGGTGCATGGTTTAGTAAGAATTTTTATTTGCATTTTGTTGTTGTACAAAAATAATTCATGTAGCTTTCAAATACTCATTTTGGAAAACAAAGAATAAATCAAATATTAGAAATGAATGTCTCAAAACTACTATAATATATCAGGCTTTCTAACTAAATTGTAAATAGGTGAACCCTTTCCAGACGGGTCAAAGGCCATGTCATCACGTTTATTGACTCACATTCAAAATTTTATTGAACAACTATTTCATGAATTTATGTCAATAAATTTGGTATCAAACTGTAGATTATAATTCAAATTTTAGTATTATACATTATTAAATTTCTTAATTTAAAAAGTAAATATTCAGGAACAAACAGTCAAACATCAATTTTTGTGTGTCAAGTAGCATGATGAATGCAGAACTGGTTCAAATTATATGTTTGTGATGTCAAAATACTAAGTCTATAGTTTCATGTGAACTAGGAACTCAAATTACTGATATTAACATGCTAGAATATAAAATAAGAACCTCATATATTTTCTATTTGCCGAGATATTGCTCACATACTGAAACAAACACAGTTGCCCCACTCACCTCTTTCCATTTTTGGAAACAGTCCCATATATACACTTACTTCAATATATGGCATGTGAATAACCAATTGAGAGCTCAAAATGTCCCCCTAGTGGCTTTCTCAGCCATTTTAAAGTGTTAGGATGCCATATCATTCTTTCAAACCAAGATTTCACAGAGGTAGGTTGTGTCTTTAATCTGCTTGAAATTTCATATTTTTTAGACCAAAATACAGCTTAGTAACTAAGCTTGATAAATGATAGTGGAATTCTATGGTATCAATATAGTAATTTAAGTTTTTTTGGTTATTCAACTGTATATATAAAACCTAAAAAAATTTATTTCATTTATATCCTCCCCGTGCGAAATTTTAAAAGGCTTAGCAACGTATGTCAAGTAGCAATCAAGTACAAAGGTCGTAACTAGAAGAGATAATTGTTTACCTTACTTCTTCATTTACTGTTCTATGTTTTAAGAGAAACAATCATCTATATACATATATAATGTATAATAACTGAAATGCGAGTGTATTTTACAAAATACTAGTCTACTAAAACAGAGCCAAGGCATGTAACTTTGTACGGACAAATAACTGGATACGGTAACATGAGTGCATGTGTGCCGCATCATTTTAAATTCTGTATTGTTAGCCAGGCATGGCTGAAAGGTCAATATAACAAAAATAATTTATATATATATGTTTTTGAGTTATAATCTGTTGTCATTCTAGAATGAAAGAGGCATAATTTATATTTATTTTCTAATTTTTTAGTGGTTATGAGATTGGCCAAATCTACCAAACACACACAGAGATTTGTTAGTGAAAATAACAGATAAAATAAAAAGTTTTTTCTTATGAAACGTTTGATAACTAGCTGGACATTATAAAGATTTCACATGTGAAATTAGAAAATTTTATGATGCATAAAAGTATTTTTAATCTTAAAATGAAAATTACTTTGCATGTTGAATAGGCAACATGCAAAAAGAAATAAAGGCAGGAGAAAAACATTGCTTAACAAACCTTAAGACTTAATAAAAAAAAACTGATATTTTGCGTATGAAAGCTTTGTAATGTTTACTGATAATCTGCCAAATTTTGTTAACATATGCTTACCAATTTAAAAGTTATAGCATGAAAACTATAACAAGCACTAAATGGTTATGAGGTCAGTCCTAAGGACCAAGCTTGTGCTGAAAGAGTGAATAAAAATTCCATAGCTGCTTGGAGCAACATCTTTAGTCTATGCTCATCAAGCTCTCACAGTGAATAATTGGCTTTTATGCTAAAACAAAGGTCAATAGCAGAGACTGAGAACTTATTTAAATATTTTCTTTTGAAACTGCAAAACTAAACTTAGTTTATATAAAAAATTTAAATTATAAATTCTGTTTTCATGTCAAGCATATTAACATAAAGTGGCAATAAAGTATTTAATTCTGTAAAACAATATCATGATATGCACAGTTTCACCCTGCCATTTACATAGGGCTAAATATTGAACAGATAAACCCAATCACTCAACTTTTAAAACTTTATTTGTGCATTTGTTCAAATTCACACAAAGCATTTCGAAGGCCAAATGAACTACTTATCTCATAATTTTGAAGTGATAGTCTAGAGGGAATGCAGCTAGTAAACATCATCCACCATCAATTCTAGGGCTACTCTTTAACAATGAATGATGGGATTGACCATGGCAAGTATAACCCTTCTTTGGCTTAAAAGGTAAACATGTTTAGTGACAGGTTTTAAGACCCACAGATTGGGATTGAAGCTCCCTAACTACCAGGCCATGCCTTTAAAAGTTAAAATTACACACAATACACAGAAGTAATACTCATAAGCGATTAAGTCTCATACACTCAGCTACAACTTTGAGATAATCAACTTATTAATTGTAACCACATAAACTGTCACAGGACATAAAGATTACACTGAAACCCTGCTAAAATATAGAAAAGTCTCTAGAAACTGCATTAATTATTTATTTTTAACCATTTATATCATGTCTCTAATCTAAATATAAAGTATTATTTAAATTAGCTTATTAAGTTTACTTAGTTGTTATACCTTTTCCTAATTGATAGTATTTTTACGAGACAGAATACCAGTTTATACTGTAAATGACTTAACAGAAACTGAAGTAATAATATCTTCTAATTTTTATTCACCTTTATATATTTAAAAAATGGGGGTTTAGATGATTTTCCAGCTTCCAAACTTCGAGCTTCTCTACTTGTTTGCCACTCTTTGAAAGCTGTATCTGCCTCTTCCACAGCTGAATAAAAATTAACAAAAATTATATTAACAAGTTTCTTCACATAAGACAAACAAATCTATTATAAGTTTTCTCTAAAAAATGTAAACTTGTATTATGTTTGAAACACAGTTAAAATAGTAACACTTTGACAAAGAACATCATTAATAAAGAAGCAAGGACTTATTCCTAAATGCATTGTATCCACTTACCTTTCAACAGCTTTTACATCACTACTGGTTCCTTTGGATAAGATAAGTGAAAAGAAAAAACAATACACATACAATTCTTATTTTAATCTAATATTCTAAAAGTTCATACCTTTAAGAAACACCTTTGCTAAATGTCGGTATGGGAATTTCTCTTTGCTTCCCCTGTCACCCTCGTGGAATAGGAACACACGTCCTCTATGGGTCCAATAATACTCATGTGAGCCAAAAAACTTGATAGGAAATTCTCCAACATCATGTTCTAGCTTCTGAATGTTTGATGGAACAGATAATGGGTAACATATTTTTCCTGGCCACCACCTGCATAACAGAAAATTGCAGTTAAAACTATTTGTGTAGTTTACCCCTAAATCTTTTATAAATATAGATACATATTAACCAGATTTTAAAATTATGTGGTATTTATAAACAAAAAAAAGTTTACATTTGAGAATAATTTTTAACTGTTTTATTCAAACTGTTTGTTCTAGAAAATTTCAGTATCTAGATGCACAATCAGTGAAGTACTTTACTATTCTTTCTTAGCAAAATAAATGTAGTTAAAGCAAATGAGGAAATTACTTACTTATAAAGTATATTCATTAAGAAGTAATTTTTTTATAAATCAAATATTAATTAACCCTACAAGCATGGCATCAGTCCATTACTCTAACTTATCTTTGTGAAGCTATAGATGGCAATGTTTACTATAATTCTGAATTTATTTAGAGTCAAACAACAAAATTTGGTAAGCTTTTAGTTAACATTACAATTCTGATGTACACACACACAATAAAAACTTTTTAATAAAGCATTTTTACTAAAGATATGTGGTAATTTATGAAGATTTAAATGAGTCAGTCATTTGCATACTCTCTAGAACAGTGTTTCTCAACAAACGGTCTGTGAACCAGCACCTCCACTTCACAATCATCTTGCTGGGCCATGGTATTTCATAAAAACAAACAAACAATAAATTAAACAGTATATTCATATGTAAATCATAATGTTTTTTTTGTACTTGCATTTTAGTGGTCTGAAACAATTTAGGGAGGAAGTGAGCCAGTTCCCAGTATCAAAAAGGCTGAGGAATGCTGCTCTAGAACACCATAAATGAGAAGTTCTTTTTTCTGTAAAATTTTATATTTCTCTTATTTTGGCTATTCTAAGAGTATACTTCATTTCAGGATTTCTAAAGACATCAACTAAGTATAAAGAAAAAACAGCTGAAAAATATGAAATAAACTGAGTAACTGAGTTCTCTCCTCTTCAGTAATGATTGGGAGGATTAAAAGTTCTTAAATTCACAGTCTAAATATTTATCCTATTATGGAGCTGGCTCCAGTTCTGTTTACACTTTGCTGCATGAAGCAGTAATCCCCTCCCCTTGCAATAAAGTAACAAATTACAGCATGACCATAAAGCTGTTTCTAGCAAATAATAACATGGAGCTCTTAGCTAACAAGAGCTGAGCAGTTGAAGGTGAATTCTGTTGGCTTCAAGACATAAAATATAAAACCTATGTACACTTAAGTTCTTGGATTTTAATAATTGAAAGGACTGTTGAGAAATAGAAATTATACAGCAATAGATGAAACTTACACATTGTTTTTATTTATATCTTTGATGTTCTGTATGCAAGTGATTCATTTTCTACACTAGCTTGTTTGGAGTAAGATGGTAAAAATTTTGAACAAGTTTTTTTAGCCTTTTATGATATCAGATTTCAGAAAGCTATTATCTGAAGATAAGTAATAAATAAAGTTGTAAACTGACAAACAATGATTTATAAGCATGAAGAAAATTATTTTAGGTAAAGAATGTTTGGTTGGTTATTTGGAGTTTTTTTGGCACAAAACAAAAGGGCTATCTGCACCAAACAACCAGTATAAAAGGAAAAACTAAAATACTATAAAATGTAAAAAGAAAACAAGTTAAGATGAAACAATCCTAAAAAATTCAGTAAAATCTAAAACACAATTATGCTGGACAGCGTCACCATCGCTAATGGCACCATCCAACATCAGGGGTAAACCCTTAGAAAACACGTCTAAAATGGTGCCTCTGCTAATATTCATAATGGCAGCATGAAAGTAAAATTTGGGCAATTGTGATCTGAGTGTCACAAAGGCCACACATTGGTGGATCAGTCTCACATAAAAGAAAACAATGAATAAAAAAACTGTGAACAATGCATCACATACACAAGACAGCTTCCTCGCATCGATCCTTATGGAAACTAGACAGCCAAACAACAACAGATGGTTTGATCTGGAAAAGCTTGTTATGAAGTTGCTCACCTCAAGTTGACTGCCAACTGATGCAAAGCTGGGTCTTGATTACAGGACCATAGTCCATAAATGGAACAGGCAAGGCTATAACAGCACAATAGCAGACAAACTTAGCTGTGGTATCAGCAAGCTCATTCCTGCAAATACCAACATGGCCAGGAATCCAGAAAAACTGGATAGAGATGGAAGACAGTGAAAAGTGGGCCAGTTGTTTCTGAATAGTGATGAGAACTGATGTTAAGTAGAGAGCTAAGAGAGTCAGTTTAAATAGTACAGTTAGTATACTGCTTAGTTTCTATGTGTTCCAGGGCAAAAGAAATGGCATACAACTTAGTACTGAATGCAGAAACTGTAGAGGGGATCATGTGAGCAATCATCGAGCTACAACAAACCATGGCAGAGTCCACAGAGTCACCTGATTTCGAGCCATCTCTAAACACAGTAACAGGAGAATGGTTCAAAAGATGTTCAGCAAAGAAAAGGCAGTACTTCCAATCAAGAGCATCTACCTTCCTCAAATGACTCAAAGAAAGGACACAGGAGAAGATGCTAAGAAGCCATGGTGGAATGGGCTGATCATTGGACTCAGCAACGTCATCCAATGACAGACCCAACTCAACAAACTGTGCCTGGATATGAAAGCCAAAAGAAGTAATAGCAGACTCTCTATTCTGAAAGAGCATAGCCCAACGAATAAGGAAGAAACAACCACAGGTTGGATGCTGTGGTAAAGATCGAAGACTGGTAGCATATTGCAAAGAAAGTTGTAAACAGCGGAGGTGAAGAGGAGGTTCATTGGAATCGGTGTACAGACTTTAGACTGACGAGGTATGGAAAGCCCCCGAGCAGAGCTGAAGCTCCAGTTGGTGGATAGGGTCCAGCATCTTCAAGGCAGAGGGCCCGACAGAACCATAAACCAGAGACCCATAATCCAGCTTGGAATGTATGAGGGCAAGATAGATCTTCAACATAGAATATCATTCTGCTCCCTAAGAGGTGGAAGAGAGGACACAGAGGAAGTTCAGTCCCCTTGTACACTTGACACAAAACTGCATGATGTGAGAAATTAATGTAAAAATACAGTCAGAGATAATCCTCAAGAACTTTTGCCTCAGGAACCATGGGAAGAGCAACATCACCGAGATGGAGCTTAGGATTGGGGGGTGTAAACCCCATTGGTAAAAAAAAAATTAATGCAAATGGTTTTGGAGAAAGAAAAGGTAAAACTGTTTGCAGTGGTCAACTTCAACAAGTGAGTAAGGGCTGAAAAAAAGCACTTCCAAGAATATCAGCAATGCTCTGTACATCAGCAACTTTCTAGCCATTGGAGAGCAAGATGGAAAAGGGATGGGAAGCATACTTCTCAATGACCTTCCAAATCTAGTCCCAGATGACTTTAGAACTGAAGGTAAAAGAGATGCTGGTGGTGAACTTAATCCCAAATTCCTTCTGGCTTTGACATCTGACCTGCCGAGCATGAGCATGGGCCCGCTAGCATGCAATATGGTTGAAAAGAGTGGGATACCTGCGAAAGGTAACCCAGCCCCATTTCTGAGCCCTCTGTGCCTGCTAGATGGCAGGAAACCACCATGGATGAGGATACTGTGTCAAAATTTTGGGGATAGAATAAACAGCTGCTTAAATTATCTTATCAGTTACTGCATCCATACAGTTGTTAATAGATAGAAGACTTAAGACAGCAGGATCTAGTTCTGAGAGAGTGGAGAGCCAGTCAACCTGCTCCAACTTCTACTGAGGCACTCGGGTCATACGGCATTGATCACAGCAATGGGTAAATGATCACTGCCCCATAGATCACTGTCAATTCTCAAAGAAAAAAATGAAGGGGAACAGACAGACAGATTAATAGCAGTAAAAGACTGACTAAGTGCATGAAAATAGATAAAAGAACCAGTACTGAAGAGAGAAAGGTTCTGATCTGAGAGTATATACTTCACAGAACAACCCCTCTCATCAATAGCAGCACCACCACAAATGGAATTGTATCCATTAAAGTCTCCCAAGATGAAAATGGGAGATGGTAACTGTTCTATGAGAGCATCAAGGTTTGACTGCTTGTAACTCTCTCCAGAAGACAGGTAGAGAGAACAACCAGTGATGGTACGACCCATGGAGATGCAGCCGGCTACAGCCTTCAAGGGCGTATCAAGTGGCACAGACAAGGTGCCACACCTTCATAAACTCGTCCATCACACAACCTGTCATACCGGTATAAATAAAACTTCCAAAAGGTAACAGCATTAGCAGTCACTGGAAGAGATGGCAGGGACAGAGACAGGAGAAGATGTAGACTTGTCAACTCTGGCATCCACAGAGGGCAAAAGATTCTTTACAATGATGAGAAAGACTCTGTTAGAGGCATGGAAAGATCCATCTGCACTCCCACTGTAGCAATGGAACAGAGTGCAGCAGCATATGTCCAAGATGGTACAGGAGACAACAACTTCGTAGCCACAGGGGAAAAAAAATGTTGTTTACAGCACATAAATATTGTACCTCTTTTTCCTCCACCCAATTAGGGCAAGATCTTTGATGCAGTGAAGGTCCAGTTCACACTCATTGGCATCAAGGTCTCTGCCACCACAACAAGCACACAAAATGCCTTTGAATGTCTGAACTACTGACATTGGAAACACCTGAGAGGGTTAGGAATATAACGCCGTACCTTTCAGTTCAGATAACCTGCCTTGACTGTGGCAATGTAAACGTCAATACAAGAACACTTGTAGGCAGCATAATTCCTTCATTACGAGTGGAGAAATATCACACAGCAGAAACTTCTTACCTGGAGACACCAGTGAGGATCCATGACTCGGGGATGTTTCATAACTCCCTCTCAACAATCACCCCTCAGGAGGAATTCAAAGTAGCATGAGGAGTAACCTCAATAGGTATACCCTCAATGGCCTTCGAATTCAGGAGGAGTTCACTGTGTTTTGGTGTGGATGTTTCCATCAAGATGTTCCTAGAACGTAGCTTCTTCACTGACTTTAGAGAGCCAGCAAGCCC